TTACTTTCAGAACAAATGGCCTTTGACTGGGCTGGTGAATGGCCAGCCCATGCACCCCGGGTTTCAGCAGCTTCCTATCTGTTTGTCGCTGGTACCAGGCTTGGTCTCACTTCTGTTCTCTTTCCCCCTGTCTCATTTGGCACAAGAAGGATGTCCTAGAAGAGGACACTGTGCCTCCTTTCTGTCTATCCTCTCCCCCTCATTTTTCTTGAATGAGTGCCCATTTGCTTATGGCCTGTCTCTCTGGATACATACCAAACATCCAGAACGCTAGAGCTATTCCAATAGCGGCGACTCTAACTTACCCTCTTTTTCTCTCATGGATGAGAAAACTCTCTGATTCCCCACCCTTCTCACCACCCAACACACCTCTTATGGGGAATTAAGACGGGAAGTACAGCACCTGTCCATATATGCTCAGAATGTCCTCTCTGGACATTATTAACATATATTGTGCCAGGAACAAAACCTGTTACAAAGGGCAGAGTGGGCTCTATTTGGGGGAAAGGGTAGTGGCATGATCTTAAAAAACGACTTTTGCACTCACATGTTAACAAGCATGAGGAACCGCATTCTCCATCTTCCATGGCAGGCACAGACAGGATGAGGGGCTTCTAGTTCTCTAAGAGCAGTTATTTCCCTGGAATCAGATATTGTGTGCTGAGATAACTGAGGGTCTGTGGTGCTTTGGGACTCAGTGCATGGATGCACTAGAAGCTAAAACAAAAATAGTCACTGGACTTGAGCTTTATGAGAAAAAGGAACTGATTTCATTGAGTCAGTTTAGGTCACAAGAGTAGACTTCTTTCTACTAGCAAAGGCTGCTTTGCTTTCTCACTCCACAGATACAGAGAAGACCAGCTGTCAGTGGCCATTTCACAACAACCGCCTCCTCAGAGGGAAGTAATAGACCCTGGACAGAGAGAAAGAGATCTAACCCCAGGACCTGCAGAGTTTCTAATCACATCATCATCACCCTGCACGTACACTCTGTGTCTTTGCTTCCTTCTCACAGAGTTGGCCCTTGCCACTCGTCCCAGCCTGTTCAGCGCTCCTTTAGCCACAGGCTATTTGTTGCTATAGCTGCTGCCAACTTGGCTGGTGAGAAGCCAGGCCTGGAGGAAATAGAGGGTCCTGGCAGGAACAGGGACTGAGGGCCCCAACAGGGTCAGCTCCTGACTCCACCCACAATACAACTGTGCCTCCATTAAACATCCTAAAGAGCTAGAAGTCACTGTGGGGTCACCAGGCACCCAGTTAGCAAAAAAGTGGTCCTGCTATCTGGTTGCAGTCTCTGAGTGTGTGGAAGGGAGGTAGGAATGGAGAGGGAGGGCCACAGGGTCCTTTAGAGCCAGGTTCAAACGGCTCACTTAGGAAAACATTCTGAAATCCTCTGGGCTTTTGTCTGCTTGAGTGGAACGAAGAAAATCAGTCCTTGCCTTCGACTGTAAGAAACCTCCTGGAGTGCGGGCACCGTCTGGAGCGGAGATCTGGCGCGCCTGAAGCACTCTGAACAGTAGCCTGTGCGAGGTCCGCTGGCACGGTGGCAGCCTCGTTCGCGGGTTGGAGGCCTCCCGGGACTTTGGCTTGTACTGCCCAGGGTTGCTCACTCTATCCCCTTAGTCCCTCAGTCGCAGCATGATGCACCTTAGGATGGACCAGACGCTGGCCTTGCCTACGCAGCGCTGGCCTCAGGGAGCTCTGGCCTGTGTTTACAACCAGAGGAAGGTTGTAAATATTGAGCTTGTCCCTCGGGTGAGGGGAAGCTTGGGCACTGACGACTTAGCCCTGATCTCTTTCTCCTTGGGCTTTTGGGCGCCGGCCTGAGGATACAGGTCGTTATATCTGGCTTTAAATTGATTCCTGTCGGTAGTGACTGGATCACAGCTATAGCTACAAAAGACATAGGAGAAATTCACTGCCAGGTTGGTTTCTCACACAGAACTGGAGGAGGCCCAGAAAGAAGACTCAGGTACTGGGGCTAGGAAAGGTGAGCCTGAGGTGGTGGGGCTACTGAACGTGAGGCCGAGCGGTTGAGGCGCTGCGGTAGGTGAGTCCGAGGGAATGAGGGCTGCGGAAGGTAAACCCGAAGGGATGGGGACCCAAGCTGACGCACGCGCACTCAGAGCCTGACGCCTAGGGGACTGGTGGGACCCATTAACCTGTTGGCTAGTTTTCGGTCCTCTGTCACGTGGCGATGAGTGGACACTATTCTTCGAGGACTGTTCGCTTTATCTCCTCAGGTAGCCAGGCGCGTACACCTTCTCCCCGACCATGCTGCCGGGGTTGGGAGAGCTCGGGAATTAAGAACAGCAGCGCGCACCGGCTGCGGGCGCGCGGCAGCCTTCGCCCTGGCGACCTTGCCCAAGCTTTAAGCGGCTTTGAATGGACCGCTGGATCGTCTCCAGTCAGGGGACTTTTGATGATCGGGAAAGTAACCGGAGAAAAAATAGTCCAGCCTTGCACTCTCTTTTGGGTGGAGTTTACGGGAGCAGAGCCCGGGGTAGCGGAGACCGTGAAATGAGAATTTTTCCGACCGCATATTTGCGGTGACACAGGCTCAGCGGAGAGGGGCTGCGCGGCGGGTTAGGCGCGGCGTGTGCCAGGGGGGCGCAGCCCGCGAGCCCGGGGCGACTGGTTCCTTTCTCTGCCGAGCCGCGGAGGGAGGGGGATTGGCAGTTCAGCGCACCGAACAGGCGCAGTTGTCTTCGCTCACTGTTCACCTTTTGCAGGTCTTTTTTTTTTTTTTTTTTAAAGACCCAAATACATGTTCGACCCTCTTGTTATCGATTTTAAAAAGTTTAGTGGCATCCACCCTACTTGCTTACGCACACCCTGCCGATTTGGTTCCAAAAGCTCGCATTTTTTTTTAGTCCCCTATTATCAAAGAGAATTGAGAAGGAAACTGGGGTCTGGTTTGCCAAACTCGGTCACTGCCCACAAGAGCTAGTCACTTCTCTCCTAGTGAACGCTCTGCTCTTCCTAAAGTCTCACCCTCGGACCCCAGAGGAGGTCGGAGTGCGCCTCGTCACCCTCCAGGTGTCTTGGCCTTCCTGGGTCATCCCTAGACAAAAGTTTGAACCACAACTGTGATCTTGCAGGGGAGAGAGGGATACAAGAACGGTTGTTTCAGTGGGGATGGGGCTCGAGAAGCTGAAAGAAAGAAGAAAAGACAAGAGCCCGAATCGCAGCTCCAGAAGCTCGTCCCCAGAGTGGTATTGGCCTTACAGGTTTGGGCAGAGAGCTGATAGTGCACCTGGGCCAGAAGCCACTCTCCTGCTCTTTCAGCAGACTCCTAGGGAAGAGGAGGGGGAGAAACAATCAACTGGATTTGCTTTGGAAAATGTTTGCCACTTGAGGCAGGGGTGGTAGACTGTGTGACACACAGGGGAACTTACTGGTGGCATAGAGCAGCACCAACGGGCGGCTGACAGCTTTGTCACAGACCCAAGGCCATCACCTGCAGAGGGCATGGTATCCAGGCTCAGCATCCTACAATCGTTCACCCTGGAAAGAGATAACTTCAGTCAAGCGGACTGTTCTGAGGGACCGCCTGTGCACTCTCAATGTCCACTTCCAGGAGTGCTTTGTAAGGGGCTGCCTATCCATGGCTAGTTAAGCCAGAAGCACAGAGCTTGAGCCTAGAACAGTGGAAAGAGAAGCGGTGTTCAGCCTAGGGCAGCATCTTATATAGTGTGTCCGGGGCATTTTGCCCAGGCTATGCACATCTATGTACCCTTTCTTCCCGGCAGTGGCTTCAATAAGTTGTCCAGACGACTGTGTTTTAAGCTGCCTTGATGTTAACTATTCTAGCCATGGAATATTTCCAATACTGAAAAATCTACCTGCATTTCAAATGCTTTTCATTGCTGAGATAGGAATCCTTAAGTGGGTACTCAGTGATGGATAAGGCCATATCTTAGCATCAACCTTGGCTTATGTGAATTGACCTTATTGGTCAAAATTATGGCATTTTCATTAAAATCACCAATGAATAATGTATCAGAGTGTAGTTTAAAGCTTCAAATATGTTTTCAGACAGAAAATATTACAAGAATGCAAGTCAGGTATATTTCTCAGATAAATGACAGTAGGGGTATTGCATACAGGGAGATTCTCGGTTCTCAGGTTTCCTGAAATCCAGCACACACATCATTAATCATTCATTGGGGTGGGTCCTTCAGTCAGTGGCAGCTCTGAGAAAGCTGAAGCGAGCCATTAGCTAATCCTTCCTGCCAAGGGGATCCTGGGGCTAGAGAGGACAACTGGACAGTCAGTCACATGTGCTGGTGCCCAGACCCTGCTTCTCTTGCCCCGCTCCGAGCGCAGGTGAGCATGTGCGCTCACCCTCCCAGTCACAGACCAAGAGCTTCCCAGAAAGAAAAACAAATTCGGCATAATGTTTAGCGCGACCGAGAGTTTCCAACAGGAGAGCAGCTCGATTAGTGGCGTAATGGCTCAGGGTGGCTCTCTAAACGCTGAATAAACCCATTCCTTAGCTCTTTAATGAATCAGTAACAACAACAAAAACAGCCTTCTCTCCCCAATGCACCACACCAAAGCCTTCCCAAGCTGGGCTGCAAATCCTTGTTTGGTTCCCCGCCGCAAGCACTTGAAGCAGTGACATCTCCCGGGGGAACGCAGTTCCCGAGGGGCAGGGGCTGTGATAGGCGGGTCGGCTGGGCAAAGGGAACGGAACCTGGAAATTGGGTCCTGGTACGTTGCAAGGCAAGGGTGCATTGCTGGGACGCAAGCTTGAGGCCGAGATGGGAAAGGAGGAGAACTCACTTCCATGTTTCAACCCCCCATTTCCGTCGCTGCCCCTGGAGGATTCAACTGCGTTGGCGCCACCGGCAGGGTGGCCGTGTGGCGCGTGAGAACTGCTGGGGTGCGTGGCCCTGGTGTGCGCGCGCCCAGCGTCGGGGTGCAGCTTCTCTCAGCAAGGCTTCTCCTCCCACTTGCTCTCTCCCACCCCCTCCCTCTTTCACACCCCCCGCCCCCGGGGCCGCGAGGCTCCCTCCCCGCACCGGCCGGAGAGTACACAAAGCGGCGGGTGAGGGGAAGCTTCGCAGGCGTGCACAGAGCAGTGAGATCACTTGCGTTATAAATATCCCAGTGCCAGCGCCGAGATCCATTCGGGTGGCCTCTCTCTCTCTCCCCCTCTCCCTCTCTCTTCCCCGAGGCTATGTCCACCCGGTGCGGCGAGGGGAGCAGCGCCAGAGGCACGCAGCCGCGCGGGGGCTACAGAGCCCAGCCCTGCAAGATGCACTTAGGACCCCCGCGGCTGGAAGAATGAGCTTGTCCTTCCTCCTCCTCTTCCTCAGCCACCTGATCCTCAGCGCCTGGGCTCACGGGGAGAAACGCCTCGCCCCCAAAGGGCAACCCGGACCCGCTGTCACTGATAGAAACCCAGGAGGCGCCAGGAGCAGCCGGAGCAGCAGTAGCACGACGTCTTTCTCCTCTTCCTCTGCCTCTTCCTCCCCCGCGGCTTCTCTGGGCAGCCAAGGAAGCGGCTTGCAGCAGAGCAGTTTCCAGTGGAGCCCCTCGGGTCGCCGGACCGGCAGCCTCTACTGCAGAGTGGGCATTGGTTTCCATCTGCAGATCTACCCGGATGGCAAAGTCAATGGCTCCCACGAAGCCAATATGTTAAGTAAGTTGCTCTCTCTCCTGCAAAACCCGTCCTAAGCAGGCGGCGGGAGACTCGGGAGGGACAGCCGGTTATTCCCTGGGCCACAGGCGCACCTTCCGGAGCCCCGGCCCGTGGGACTCTACTGGCCGTCGAAACAGCTGGGCGGGTTGAGTGGAGATGCTGTTACACGGCGCGCACAGGCGCACCCCTCTCCTGGGTATGAGGAATGGCGATTCCTGAGGGGTAGGCTACCCGGAGGCTGGTGCACAGACAGGCATCTTTTCTCCAATTTGCCCCGGTCCCAAAGAGGAGCATCCAGCCTGCGCCTGGAGAAAAAACAAAAATCTTCTTTCTCCTCGTTTAGTTTCTGTTTACCTTCTGCTTCTGTTTACTAGGCTAGCATTTTTCATCAGGCGTCAAAGTGCACCCCTATTCCCTGCCCATAACTGAACAGTTAATATTTTTTTAGAAGAATCAGATCTCACAGAATCCCCCCCAACAGCCACCATAAACCCCAAATTAATGTATATATAATTTATATATGTATATACATATATGTATGTCTAGTGCATATATATATTTGCACTATATATATAAAATATATATGTATATTCTAAGGGAGACCAGGCATCCCCTGCTTGGAAGAAGACAGTGATCTGGAAAACTGGACACGTTTAGAGAGGGCGACGTGATGGACATTCGAATTATTAACTCCAGAGTTGGATTTAGCAACGTTTAGTATCTTGAGACCATGACAACACCTTGTTAGGAAGACCCGTCAGCCTTCTGTCCCCAAGGACAATTAGGGGAAAGTTCTTTACTTTAGAGGAAACTCAGAGGAGGTTCAATTCGGTACAGGTGCAAATTGTGTAGGCTTTTGTAAGCCAAGTTTTAAATTTTCTTTTTGAGTTTTCTCATTAGCTCTCTCTCTCTCCCTCCTTTCTCATCTCCTCTTCCCTTCCACCTTATCTGCGTTTCCAGCCGGTCACGGCCACTCCCCGGATTCCTCTCAATGCCTCTAGGCAGCTGAGGGGAGAGATGATTTGAGGTTGTAAGCGGTACTTGGGCGATCTCTGCGGGGCTTTTCCTCAACAGGACAGATCGCTCTTCTAGGCCGATTTAGTCCACCAGATAGAACCACAGCCGGGGCCTCCGAGATACCCAGGGAGAGCAGAAGCAGGGCCAGGAGATAGCGCTGCGCACGGTCACCCGGCTCTCGAGCGTCAGCCTGGTAGCTCCCAGGTGTACCTAACTTGCTGCATCTCAAACCAACCACTCCATAGGCCATTGGGCTTCTTCTTACCCACGCTCCGGAGGAGCGCGGGCGCCGCAGCGGGGTTGGCAACCTGGCAGCCGCCTCCGGAGCGGGGTTGGAGTGCGCACGTTGGTGGGGTGGCCGGCAGGCAAGCCTCCTCCCCGGGGTTCAGGAGGCAGGGTATGCATGACCGGGCGGTTCGCGTAGGCAGAGGAGCGGGTCCGCGCCCGCCCGCTGCCCCTGTCTAGTCTTTCGGGTTGTGCGGCTCCCCCTGACCGTGCTGCGCATGGTGAGCTGGCCTGGAGCACGAACCCGAGAAAGGGCCCTGCGACGACGCCCCAGCGAATCCCAGGGCCTCCCGCACGCTCCTTAGAGAACCGGTTTCCACGTTTTAAGGTTCATTTTGCTCTTATCAAATAACTCCCCATCTTTGGTGATAAAGGGCAAGATTTGTTGGAGGGAAGGGGGAATTTTCCGAGTTTTCAGTGAGAGTCGCGTCTATTTCCGTGTTCACTTTGCCCTTCTCATTTTGTCCCACCCAACTCTGCGTATTCCTCACTTCATGGAATCTTCCCTCCTTTCTCTCACATGAAAACTTTTTCTATTCTGTTCTTGTAGTTTATCTGCGAAATCAGCACCAGCAGAGAGATAACTTGTGGGTTCCCAAGGGAAGACCCAAAGTTAGCATGCAGATTAGGGGGGCAAAAAATGTTGTCTGGGGTGGGTTTCAAGTGTGCTAGGGATCTCTACACACCAGATTCGTTCCCAAGATATTCACCTCTTTCTCTCGGAAGAAACCATAAGTGACAAAGATTTTTGCAGTTTAGGCCTTGGGGGGGAGGGGAAGTTGTAGACAACCATAGGAGGGAAAATGAGAACAGAGCAACAAAGAATACATCTGGCTACCTGTTATTTCCAAGGTACAATTTATTTTAAAATCTGCATTGAAAGATATCTACAAAAGAACAGGGATAATTCCTAAACAGTGCCTGGATAAAACTTCCTTAATTTAACTAACACTTTCCTAATTCATTCCAGTTTACAACAGCGTTTCACAGTTTAGTCTGTGGTTTTTTTTTTTTGTTTTTTTTTTTTGTTTATTGCAGTAACATTTAGTCTGTGTTTTTTTACATGGCTTGCTATCATTCACTTATTCATTCATTCATTCACTCATTCCCCAATATAGGATACCTACCTCACCAAGCTTGATATTTTGGTTACTTTTGGGTTAGCTGGAGGATTTTTTTAGTTTTGCCTTCCATGGGTTTTTCTCACAGAGGTAAGCATAACTTAAGTGTTCAAATCATGGTGATTTTCTGCTTTGTGATGTCTGGTGTCTAATGCTAGCTACTTTATTAGATTTCGCTACCCAATATTGATCAAGGAAGAATTTATGGAATATGTCATGTTTAGTGGGATGCCATGTAATTTGGAAATTTCAAATGGGTCTTTGCCCTTAAATCGCTGTGAAAGAGAAACAGAAGCCTGTTGAATGCAGTTGGTCATAAACCTCTTTGAAGGCAGCCCTAGATGGGTTCCTGACGCTTATGTAAACTGAGGCATTGGTCGTAGACTATTGGTTAGAGTAGATGAGGAAACATTTGTCTCACAAGAGACATCAAGAGAGCTGGGTCAGGGGCCACAGAAGATACACCTCATCATCTAATTCTACTGTCTGTGAGTTAGCAATGATGGAAAATTTATATTGTTTTGTCACAGCTTGCTACTTCAGAAAAGAGTCAAAACTTTGCCATGAGACTGCATTCTAACAGGCTCTTTTAAACTTAATTTTCTGTAATATTTATCAGATAGAACAGATTAACATATATATACAGTATACATATGTTTCACAACTATCATTTGACATTAAAATTTTTGTAAACTGTGAATATTTTCTAGTTTTGCCATCAGAAGTAGACTCTGGCTATAGATTTTGAAACATAATTTGTTTAGTTAAGGTATATCAATTAATATATTCATAGCTTCTAGGTTTTGAAGACAGAAAAAGGAATTGAGCCCATTGTACATAAACTCTTATTATATGGAAATACTGGAAAGGATAAAGAAAGATGGACAATTACAAGACAGATGATAAAATCCGACTATTGAATAAAAATAAAGGCTTTGCTTGAATTTATATGCTTTCAATTTAGTTTCAGTACAGTGCTTCTGCTGACTTATCTTGGGCCACTGAAGAATAGACTATCAGGTAATTGTTAATTTAGGGAGCAAAAGTTTAAGGCTATGGCTACACAAAGCCAAAGTGTTCACATAAAATATGAAAATTCCAATCACGTATTTTGGCTAAATAGAACTCTCAATTTTATTGATTTTTTAAAAATATGAATTCATTATCAATTCTGGTGTCGTGTAGAGTCCACCTTTACATAGTGCTCCGAGCCTAGATAAACCGGAACCTGTATCTACTGTATAGAAAAACTCAAGTGGAAGATTTCCATGTTACTAATATAATCAATGAAGACTGCTGAACTGGATAGTTCAAGACTCAGATTTGGTGATGACATAGCATATGTGGTGTTGTGTGAAAGCAAGTAGAGAAACTTCAGTTTTACATTATTTTTCTTTGAAGATTTTCAGATGGGCTGTTGAAAGCTTCTGAATACATGGAATATCTGTGTCTTTCTATATCTTACTCACTAAGAAAAGGGAGAAGTCTACATAATTGTTGTCAACCATCATCAACAGAGTCCTATTGTATTAAAAAATTTGGAGGAAACTAAGTCAAAAATCTAGCTATATTTTTTCTTACTGAAATAACTTACTTTGTAATTCATGCCTGTGCTTGTAAGTGGATTAAACAGTGTGTGTATAACCTGAAAGACACCAAGTTCTTGCCTCCTTCAACCTAGATGTCAACCTCAAAATTCCACCAACAGAGAATAATTCCTTTTGTCAAGCATCGCCCTTTTCTTTTGATCTTTTTAAATGTGAACACCTTAGGAAAGATAACACATTGTCACTAGCACTTTAATGTGAATTTATAGTGATCCTCTCCTCCTGCCCCACTCCCCAAGCAGGGGAGAGCCAAAATACTAGGATAGTACTAAAACCCGTGTCCATACTTGTGTGCTGTGTCCATACTTGTGTGTGTATGGGGTGTCCCGAAAAGAGAAAGAGAGGTAGTGAAATGGTCAAAGAAAACAGTCCAATTTAGCAAACGTTCATTGACTATCCATGATCTGTGAGACAAACTTGGCCTTCCACAATTTTGCTTAGGGGTATCATCTTGGCATCCATAACGTGAATTGTAAATTTCCATCAAATTTATTATTACTGTCTCCTAATGATAAGAGTCCGTAAATTACTGAAATTAAAAAAAAATCAGTTTTAGAGAAATATTTTCTGGGATTTATATATGTGTGATTTAATGCACATGGGTTTAAAATATTATGTAGAATTCTTTAGTGAGTTACTGAAATTTGCTGTAGAAAATCAATAAGCCAGTGATCTCTTGGGGTGGGGCAGGAAGTTGAACTGTGGGACTCGTTAGAATTTGCATCAATACTCTAGAAGAAAAGCCATTGTAATATTACTGTTGAAATTACTTTGGAAATTATGATCTTAACGCCATAATTACATTGAGATTTAGATCATTCCAAAATTGCCTATGTGAAAAGACAATTATTTCATCTAATCTCATCTTTTTTCTTTCCTGCATTCTTCATAATTTTACATAGAATGATATATGTAAAAGTATATTTTTTAAGCTTTCAATTAAATATAATTTTCTTAAAATTATAAAATCCTTTTGTTCTTAGGCAATACATCATTTTTATACTGAAACTTACAAGAAAAGAAACTATGCAGTATGTAATAAAATAATAATACTTTCACATATATTATTTCATCTTCCCCATATTTAAAATTCATTACAATGCAAATTTTATATAACATATACACATAGAATGTACAGTGTGTTAGGAAACAAGTTAAATGAGTCAAAATGGATCTTTCTTAAAAATAGAATATGTTAGTTGTCAGAAACCAATAGTTCACATAGGCAAAGCAGTGTTCCCATTAAATAAATATGTATAAAGCCCTTTTGTCTTGACTTCTTAAATGTTAGCCTGCAAACACATATACTTAATGAGAATTTTGTCTTTTATGCTACCATGTATTTTTTTTTTCCTAATACACAATAGATTTGCATTTACAAAACCAGGTAATTTTCCAGAGAATGGAATGAAAACTAACAATGTAGAACCATGAATAAATTGGTGGAAAATATACAACCAAGTCTCTTTTCTACCAACTCCATATTGTCTCTTTGGTAGCCATCATTCCACACATAGATGATTTCTCATGTTCTTCCTATTTTGTTTTTTTAATGCATTTACACAGTAGTCACAATTATATCCCCCATCTCCCAAATATCTAAAATCATTAATGCTGTTCTCAATATCATTCTATAGTTTTGATAGAAATATAACTTTGTATCAGATGTTCTATTCATGCTCTATTTTTTTTAATTTTTTTTATAATTATTTATTTATTTATTTTCCCCCCAAAGCCCCAGTAGATAGTTGTATGTCATAGCTGCACATCCTTCTAGTTGCTGTATGTAGGACGCGGCCTCAGCATGGCCGGAGAAGCGGTGCGTAGGTGCGCGCCCATGATCCGAACCTGGGCCCCCAGCAGCAGAGCCCACGCACTTAACAGCTAAGCCACAGGGCCGGCCCTATTCATGCTTTATTAATAATCTTATTACAGCATATTACATTTACATCGTGTAGTGTACTTAACTTTACAAAGCATTCTGTGTGCTTTGTTATTATTTGATAAAATTATAATGCTTCTAAATCTTTGGGTGTGCATCACAGTCAAATAATCTGTATAGTAAAATCTATTGTAGACAGCATTTTGAAAATATTTTGAAGAAAAGAACTTATGAGACAACAGTTTCTTTAGAAGTTTTTTTCTAAAAGCAAAAGTAGCCCCTTTCTAACAATTTTTAGAGTTTTTTTCCTTTTAAAGAAACATTCACTAGTAAATTGGTAGCTGCAGTTTTCTTGAGATGTGTTTTATATACTCCAGGCTAAGAATGCTTATAACTAAAACAATAATTCTGCTACTCTTTTCCCCCCATGAACTTTCTGATCAAATATTTTTAAGAAATCAAGTTGAATAAATAAGCGACAGTATTTGCTACAATTATCAGTATTAGCTCACAGTGTGCAACATAAGTGCTCAATAAAAATATTCATATGTGTGTATTTATATGTCATATAAATGTGTGTCCACAATATACTGCTTTTCTTGTAAATTGAATAATTTTATATGTACTTCAAATACTGCAGGAGGAGATTATTTCAGGAAAATCTGGTGAATTTCTCTATTCAGCAGACTCTTACTGAGATATCTTAATTAGTATATATGCTCAAAATAGTATAGATTGAAATGTCGAGGTTTTTTTTCCCTCCTCCCTCCCATCGTTACTTCCTTCTTTCCTTGCTTTCTAGGACAGGTCCCTTTTTACCGCTAGTAAACTATATTATTTTGTCCTTCCCCCCCCCCCCAATTTGATGTAGGCAATTAACAAAAAGCACTACGCTTTTCTTGTGTTCATATAACATATGTGAATTTATGATAAGCAGGCAGGAATTCCAATTATATACAGACTATGAGTTTCAACTTCTTAAAATATTCTATCAACTGGGGTGTGTGATTCTTTTGACCAGTGGATGTGGACTTTTTAAATTGTTATAGGAGACAGAAGGACATTGACTTGATAATATTAACTATGAAATACCAAATATAAACAATAATGTAATAAAATATCTCATTACATTTTTTTCCAGAAAGGTCATTCAAAATGCAAGATATCTCAAACCATAATCCATTAAACACTTCATTGAGCCAATAATCCCAAATTATTTATAATGCTTTCAGGATTTTGTAATGTGTAATCTTTAAATGAGTTACTCACCAAATGATTGAGTATGGTATATATTGATTTGTACTTTTATAATTATGATAATTTGAGAACAGGAATTTTTTATATAAATAAGTATTATTTTCAAGGTTTTCAATGTTTTATACTAGTCTTGAGTACAGACTTTATGTGCTTTAATAGTAAAAGTAATGTATTATCTTTGATAGAAAAACAATGCATGAGAATTATTTTGAAAAACATTTAAGAAGTCTTTTCAGTTCTTTTAGAACTTGAAAAGATTCTATTGTGAAACATTGTTTACTAAAAGGGACTTATAATTTGTAAAAAAAAATACTAATGAAGCAAAACTAAATTTTTGAATCTTGAAATTTATCATTTTAAATGTACAGTTGAGTGCTAGCATTTTCTTTTTTACATAATGAATGTCATGAAAAATAAGAATATTAAATACTCTTTTAAAATCACAGTAATAAGGAATGGAAAGAAGCTATGTAGAAATTTAATTCTACAAAAAATAATGGTATATAGAGGAGTCTGTGTTTTATTTTGGGATTTCTGTCATCCTAGGTATTTTGGAAATATTTGCTGTGTCTCAGGGGATTGTAGGAATACGAGGAGTTTTCAGCAACAAATTTTTAGCGATGTCAAAAAAAGGAAAACTCCATGCAAGTGTAAGTAGAACCACTTCATATTTGTTAAAGGTGTTGTGAAGATTTTACATTTGTAAAATGGAATGAAGTGATTTTCCAAATTGGTGGCTAGGACAATTTGCCTAGAGAACTTAATGTTTTTTGTTTTTGTAAAATTATATGTACCTTTAACCAAGAGAATTGTATGTGTTTTTATAAGTAATCATTTAAGTATTTTATTTACTTGAAAAGAAGAGTCCACAAAAAATTTTAAGAGTAAGTGTATTTGAAAACAGCATTCTCAAAGTGATTGCCGCTATTTATTTCTTAAAGGTGGTCCAAGTAAGGAGAAATATTATGGAAATAACACATAACATTTTAAACTTACAGGTTTGTGGTGATTGTGTATGTGTGTGTTTAATAGATCAGGTTCTTATTTAATTTTTTAAGCTATATATATATTGTCAAAAATTGGGTCTAAATAATATAACATTTTCGTATTAATAAGTATGGAGGGAAGAAGCCAATTAATGGGAAGACTTTGACTTTTATGGAAAAATTTTATTTGATCCATTTGAGGAATTCTCATCTTGGATTTTTGTTGCATCAAAAACAAATACTTCCTAAAACTATGGAGACTAATTATGCACTTAAAAATTTTTTTGGATCATTTTTACATTTTGTAATCAGTTTACAAATTATAGATTTCTGTGCTTTGTTCTGAAAATGCTCATTACTCAGGAAGCATTAAAACATTTTAAAGATAATAAAATACATCTAGCTTAGTTTTCCCACTCACGGATTCTGTTTATTTGTATTATTTGTATTTCCCACTCACAGCACTTAAAAGGGATTTATTCTTTTTCTGTAGTATACTAAGTTTTGTCACATTAAATTATTTTAAAAAGCAATTCTTCTTTAATGCTAGTCCTTTATTCCTTACTCCCTTTAATTTTTATTAAATAAATTGGAGAAATATCACTTTTTCAGTTTTCAAAGTATATAGGAAGTTTTAATTGAGTGCAATCATTGAAACTTACCATTTATAATTTCTATTTACAAGACTTCTAAAAAATTCAATGAGAATTTCACTTGGTTCAATGTTTAAGACTTTCCATTTTCCTTTCCCTAGCATCTAAATGTAGTTTGCTAATGCCTCTTGGAGGAGGTGGTAGAATTCAAGCTATTTCAGCAGTTATTTGAGGATTAAACGAGAAAATACATATAAAGCTTTTAGAACAGTATTTGGACATTGTAAGTGCTCGGTAAATATTACCTGTTATTATATGATAATCGAAATAGAATCTAAATATGATAAACTACTAAAATCTCAGTTTAAGATACATGGAAAACCTTTGTTTACCTCTTTAATCACCGATTTCAAGAATTATAAAAATATTTACCTATTTTATTTTCTGAGCTGGTTATTATATTCTAGTAAGCTATAGTATAGCATTCATAAAATAATTGCTCTTTGATTCATTCATTCATTCAAGGGGCAAAGTTCTACGTTGCTGTGGAAAAGTAGGACATGCCACTTTATGAAAAAAAGATTTGATTTTTAAAAATCCACATACAGAATAGAAAACAACGATTGAACACATCTGCACAGAATAACTTTTCCTCAGTCAACTTTAAGGTTGCAAAAGATTGAAACACCTTTGAAATCTAAAGATCATAATAATATGCAATGCATGTAAAGAAACTTTTCTCATTGGTTTGTTTTGGGTGAAGATATTAATTTTTAAAATATTTAATTTGCCCTAGTGCATGCAAAAAATAGACTAAACTTGGGCCAGCTTAAGGAAAATTGCCACGGAAAGCAAAGTAGTACAAATGGATGCCAATTAGAAAGGTCAAACCGAGAGGTTAGGATACATGATTCCTCTGTCAAATGCAAGTAACAAATTTCCAGAAATTTGACCCAAATGTCTAAGGATTGCTGGTCGAAATAATGCAGATAATGCAAAAACAGCATCTGTTGTTCTTTCTCATCTTGGCAGGCTAAAGTTATTTCATGGAATAATGACGTCTAAACAGCACATAGCAAGTCTTGCTCTTGTCACTCACGGAAGCTCTTTGATATGAAAGTCATTCTGATGACTTTGAGCTGAATTGTGGATAAAAAATTAAGCCCTAAGATTATGTGGATTCTTTTTCAACCAATTGTCCAAGCCCACTTTCTCTTATCTGAGCTTTGATTAGCACTTTTCTCTAGATGGAAAACTAATTAAATTATAAAATGATTTACTCTTAAGGAGGTTGAATTTAGATATAGTATTAATCCTAGCAATTATCAGTTTTATGCCTAGATGGTTTCTTTCCTGTTTTCAGTTTCTAGTTAAACGTGTTGAAAAATTGTTCTTATAACTTTAAATGTAATTATTTGATTTTGTTTTGATTTTTACAAAATTGCATCATCACTAAAAAGCCTAAAAACCCTTATACTTTTAGGATTAAATGTGTTTCTTGAGTTGTTTTAAATTAGTAATTGTTCAGAGGCGTTTAAATAATACTTTATAATCATTTCACTATATATATAATCATCAAGTTTTACATCTTAAACTTATACAATGTTATATGTCAATTATATCTCAATAAAACTGGAAAAAAATTAATAAAGAGTACTTTTAGGTTCTATCTACAAGTAAATGTGAGCTTAAAATGTAAAGAAATCATATAATTCTGGGGAAAGTAAGCCCATAGTGTATTAAGAAATATTCGTGGATAATTGTAGATTTTCAACTTGGTTTTTATAGTAACAATCAGAATATTAAAAATTAGTTACTAGGCAGAGATAATGTATTTGCATAGTTCTTTAAAATCTCTTTCACTCACATTATCTCATTACCTAGTTAGATGAGGAAAGACTCTCAGAGATGTTAAATTTTTTCCTAAGTTAACACAGTTAACAAGTGATTGAACCAGAACTATATCCTTTTTAAATTCTTTTTCTCTTTAAATACTGTAATGCTTAGTAGGTAAAAGTTAGCTTTAAAGAGATATTATGTTTTGTTTGGAACTAATGATATTGTTTTCACCTATTATTTAATAGGAATTAATAATTGCATGGTTTAATAATATTTTCATATTACATTTTAAAGAATGAATACTTTGGTCATCCTTAGAATATTTTGCTTGTTTCTCTCTTTCTCTCTCTCTCTTTCTCATTCCAAGCTCTTTTTTGGAATTGTTTTTTCCCATCTACTTCTGTGTCTTCAGTACTTGATTTTAAAGTCTAGAAAGGAGGGGATGTGTCCACCACAGAACTTATCAGAGTCACAAACGTTGGTTATTCAGTGTGATGATGAGTTGCATAGGGAACCAAACCCGTCTCAAGATGAACTTTCAAAACAGAAAAGAGATCTGTTTTGTTCACAGAAAATCTTCATTTAGAAAATGCTTCATTGTCAATGGACACAAAGATGGTAAATAGAAATATCAGCCCAGAACAGTTAGATTTAGGCAACATTTATGCTGGTTGCCTTTGTGTGCTAAGTTTGGTAATTCAGTAAGAGAAGTCTTATTTGAACTTCAACCACCTCAGTGTGCACTGCACCCTGCACTCATTCAGCCCACATGCTCATATTAATCTACATGCAGCTCTCTTAAAACCTTGGCTAGTGTACTTGAAATATGCAATGCAACCAAATTCCTGCCATGCAGGTTTTTTCAGCGTTCTTTGCAAGGATGAAGGTGTATGGTCTTCTCCTTCCCAAAATGCCTTGGGAATCATTGAGAGTAGGAGTAGAAAACTGCTTCCTAAAGAGTCATGAGGGTTAGTCAGAGCCTTGACTGTGACCTCTGTTCTCTTTCTCAACTCGTTTCCAGGCTGAGGTACCTCGTGGAACATCCTTCTCTTTCTGTCTATCTCTCTTCTGCCTGTCCGTTCCTGCCTCCTCCTTACTCTGTTCCTGCTCTCTCCTCAGGTTTATTGTCTTTACCAAAAATTCCATAGGAGCCCGCCCTGTGGCTGAGTGGTTAAAGTTCCACGTGCTCTGCTTCGGCAGCCCTGGTTTGCAGGTTTGGATCCCTGGCACCGCTGACCTACTCCACTTGTCAGCCATGCTGTGGAGGCATCCCACATACAAAACAGAGGAAGATTGGCACAGATGTTAGCTCAGGGCGAATCTTCCTGAAGCAAAAAAACAGGAAGACTGGCAACGGATGTTAGCTCAGGGCAAATTTTCCTCACCCAAAAAAAAAAAAAAAAAAAAATTACATAGAGAGCCTGTCTGGATTTATCTGAGGTGGGTCCAGATGTAAGAGTGAAAGGCCTCGAGTGGTGGTTCAGAGCACAGTTCAATTGCCCAAGCCTGAATCCCACTCCACCACTGTGTCATTTTACTTAATCTTTCTATTCTTGGTTTTATCAGCTGTAAAAGAAGGAAAATTAAGGTAACAATCTATTGTAATAGTTGACCATTTTAAATGAGATAATCATACAAAACACTGAGTAGTGCCCGGCAAGTATTCTGTACTTACCTATTAAAAAAGATCTTCCTGAATTTGCTCTCAGGCAGCTGTTTGATGATCCTCAATCTCCTCTCTTAGAAGACTTTCTGATTTGGGGGTCAAGCAGCTGTGACCCCTCAGATATTTGGACCAGCCCTAAATCCTATTTATCATTAACCTTTTTTTCCTCAGGTCCAAACTTTTTGCGCATACCATAGTCCCTTATCTCCTGGGTTTTCTTTTTTCCAAGGAACACAATTTGAAAGCAAAATTCTCAGGCTCAAGCTCTTAGAGAAGCAAGGAATTCCTATGGTCATAATCTCATAATTCTTTCAGAGCCCTATTGTGTACCTTGTTTTCTTCCCTAAAAAAATGTACATCCTGGAAAAGGTGGTTATCATGTATTCTTCTGTCTCTTCCTAAAGTATACATGATAGCTCATTGCCTATTGGGGAAAAACATTTTAGTTTAATTTAAAGATCCAGCGAGAAGCATGTGGCAGAATTATTTTTGTTTCTCAGGGGTTTAGGGGGATCATGTTTGGAAGGAAAGCTAATTGCAGAGTTTACGAAACAGGCATGGAATGT